CTACGAAGGTGTTCTCCAAAAAGTATCACCACTGCCACAGACCTTTACGTTAACGTTCAGAATATCAGCTGGAGTGCCCTTCACTCCCTGTCATGCTAGTTTGGGCTAACGAGGAAAGAAAGAGAATTGAAGGAGGGAAGGGACGTACTTGGCTCACGCTCTGTTCACTGGTGGCTCTCCTTTGCTTCTGTCACTTGAAAACATCCTGAATCCTCTCATTCCTCTGTATTTCCAGTGGTGTAACCCAGTGCTGGGGTTACTCAGTAGCCTCTCCACTGGTCTCTGCACTCTGCTCTGTAGTGCAGCCTCTCTGGTTTTCCTTTCTTCTTCTTCTTTTTTTTAATACTTTTTTTTTTTTTATTTTTGAGAGAGAGAGAGTGCAAGCAGGGGAGGGGCAGAAAGACAGGGAGACACAGAATCCGAAGCAGGCTCCAGGCTCCAAGCTGTCAGCACAGAGCCCGACGGAAGGCTCGAACTCATGAGCTGCGAGATCATGACCTGAGGTGAAGTCGGACGCTTAGCCTCCTGAGCCACCCAGGTGCCCCGCCTCTCTGGTTTTTCTGAGGCATACATGTTATGTATATCTACTGATAAAATTCCCACAGTAGCTTCCATGGCCTTCACGATAGAGTGGGGACTTTAGGTTGGCCCATCAGACTTCCTTCCTGCCTTCTGTCTATATCTGTAGACTCTTCTCCCTCTCCGCTGCCATACTGAACTTGTTTTAGTTCTCTGAAGTCATTGTCATCTTTGCACATGTTTTCCCTCTTTGTAAAGAATACCACACCCTTTCCAGCCAAGCCTGGTACCGTGTCCTGTCCTCAGAGTACTCTTCTTCAGAGAAGCATTGCCAGAACTCTCTGGGCTAGGTAAGATGTCCCTGCTTCATGGTCTCCCTGCCCCACAGCATCTTGTACTTATCCTGTTGGAACTTAACACACATTATATTTGTGTAGGTTTAATTAATTGTCTTTCCTAGTCGCCAGGAAGCTTTCTCAAAGTAGGCACTATGTCTCATCTGTTTGCCACTCTTTTACCATTCTTTTTTTTTTTTTTTCAACGTTTATTTATTTTTGGGACAGAGAGAGACAGAGCATGAACGGGGGAGGAGCAGAGAGAGAGGGAGACACAGAATCGGAAACAGGCTCCAGGCTCTGAGCCATCAGCCCAGAGCCTGATGCGGGGCTCGAACTCACGGACCGCGAGATTGTGACCTGGCTGAAGTCGGACGCTTAACCGACTGCGCCACCCAGGCGCCCCTCTTTTACCATTCTTAGCATGACGTCCGGCACATAGAAAATGCCCAGTGAACATTTGATGAATTCATAGGTTAGTGAAACCAAGAACAGATCAGAGAAAAAGATTTTTGCAATATCACCTTGAGGCTGACAAAGGAGGATGGAACACAGTGAACCCCAGCCTTAGAGCTGTGTTCCAAATTAGTTGGAAAGGAAGGGATGTGCATAATAGTGATGACATGTGCTCTGTCACACGATTGTGTACCTGTGTGCTAAGTGAGGGTTTAGGAAATAGACACTCAGCTATGCCAGGCCAACTAAGTCAGTTAAAGCTTTTTATTTTTAAATGTCCAAAATTTATTCTGTATTTCTAGGAAGAAAGGAGTCAACAGCTCTTGAGATGTTAAATCAGAACAAGTTTAAACATTTACATAAAGGAATTTTTAAAAATCTCACTGAAACTTTGAGGGAGGAAGATTCAGAAACATTTTCAAGGAGCAAGGGATTGTAAATGAGAAATCACACCACACAGTCTCCATTGCCATTAAAGGAACTGTAAAATGTTAATAGCAGTCTCTGTCCTTCCAGGTACATGTCCTATTCTGCATTTCTTGCTCTTATATGAGAAATCTTACCACTGTAGTTCTTTTTTTTTTTTTTTTTTTTTAAGTATTTATTTTGAGAGAAAGATTGCACAAGCAGGGGAGGGGCAGAGAGGGAGGGAGAGAGAGTATCCCAAGCAGGTTCTGTGCTGTCAGCGCAGGGCCTGACTCAGGGCTCTGTCTCACGAACCTTGAGATCATGATCTGAGTAAAAAATCCAGAGTCAGACAGTTAACTGACTGAGCCACCCAGGCGCCCCCACCACTTTAGTTCTTAGCATAATGATCCCTATGGTTTGGAAAAGAATATTGTATTTAGATGATTGAGTAGGACATTTACCACTTCTAGAAATACTGTCAATGCAGTATTCTCCCTTTGTTTCTTCCTACTCTAGGAAGTTCAAGTTTAATGAGCCCTGCTGATTAGTTAGCTCAACGCCTCTCAATGAGGACCGAAATAAATCATTTCTGTGTTGCTAAATTAGAGAGTTTGTTTTCTGAGATATACAGGTTTGTTGAACATCAGTGTTAGTTCTGTAGGCTTCTACCCCCTACCCTCACGCACACACTCCCCTACCATCACCACTCTAAACATCTAGAGAAGATAGAATGTTGAGTTAGAAAACTGTAAATAACTTTTCTCAGCTTGCTTCACTTTGTTTTCTTTTTTCTGGGTCCTTTTGGAGGCCTTCTTGGCCTGAGGGCTGAACTGAATAGTAGGTATAAATTTCAAGGTTACAGCTAAGCTTACTTGTCAACAGAAAGCAGTCACCAGGCCAACCACACTCTTAATCTTATTTCATGCATCTTTGCCCTGAGGCAGAAATTTCCATTCACAATTTAGAGGAGTTGAACAGAGATTCAAATTTGCAGGTATCTTAGAAATGTGAAAAGATGTCACAGGATGAATTTAGAAACCTGTTTGTTGCATATTGGGAAATGCCTTTTAATATTGGCCAGTTTTGGGTTATTGGTTTTAAAGATTTTCCAGAGGTCCCTAAATTGAGTACTATTTATGAAATTCATGTCATCTGAGACAGCTTGTAGACAACTGTACGCAAATGTAAGAACACAAATTTAGGTGAGATTGTGAAAAATAGATACATAGTCAGCTAGGGGCAGTGGTTGGGGGGGGTGGGGGGGGGGGCATGAGTTTTGCTCCCATCAGGAGATACTTGACAATGTATAGAGACATTTTGATTGTCACAAGTTCAGATAGAGGCAGCAATGCTGCTAAACATCCGAATAGTGCACAGAAATGTTGATGGTGCTGCTGTTGAGAAACCCCAATTTGATGTGCAGAGAGATAGTAACACATATAAAATCTGTGTGTATATAAATCTTTGTTTTGGGGGATTTCATTCAGAGTGTAAAAAATATTTAAGGAAACAAAATTCATTCCAATTCTTTGACCTGCCAGCATATATTTAACATTGTGAGTTTGGCCACGACACATGCAAACCCTTTCAAAGCCATAGCCTGGAAGCTTGTCCACTCCTCAGAGCTGTTCCTTTGGAAGCGGAGCTGTGCTAGTTAGGGGTGCGTGTTGGAGGGATGAGGGGTTAGGGCGCCCACCGGTGAGGCAGCCTGGAGATAACAGAGCATCCTTGAATGTAATCTCTCTTCTCTAAGATTCTACCTGTGCCCTCTTGATTCTGAAGTACTTCGTAGCTCGTGCTAGAGTGTTAGTCTTTACCTCTGCTCCACCCCGCTGGCCCTCCTCATTGTGTGAAAAGAACATTGAGAAAACAAAGGAGTAAGGTAAAAGGGGTAAGAGAGGTGGCATGAATGTGGAACTGAAGCCGAAGTTCAGATTATTTGCTTTATGTATCTGCACCCAATGACAACTTCTTGTCATCTTTTGTTTCTACAACTGAATTGGTCTCTGAATTTTTTGGAATAGTTTCCTTACAGTCTACTTTGGGTCTATTTGTAATGAGAACATTGAGTAATCTGTTTACAGTAACCAACACTTGGTTATAGGTATGAAAATAAAATGGGCTTTATTCGATGGATAAATAAACTAAGACGGTTCAACATATTACAGTGATGTGGCTGCAAATTGATATAACTTGGAGACTTGAGAATTGTTCTGAAAAATGTAAACATTTTAACTTAACTATTTTTCTGAGTTCCTAGTTGGTGATTATGTTGTAAAGGAACAACATCACTTCTGCCTGAAAGGGTGATACATGTGTGCTTTGTCTCTTTATCATTTAAGATAGATTTGACTGTATAGAAGCAGAAAAACAAAAAGCGAGAAACCCCACCATCAACAGAACTCAAAATAACAGTGGCTTAGAACTGTGAGCTAGAGGTTTATTTCTTAGGCAAAAGAAGCCAGAGGTAGGCAGTCTGGGCCTCGTATGTCCCACAACATTTAGTCTTGAATCCTGTTCTGCCAGCCTTGGCATGAGGTCTTTTCGTGTAAGATGGGTTCTTGAGCACATCATTGATAAACTCTGACCTGGCTACTGCAGATACAGACCTGACTGGGTGACATCCTCCTAGCCTGGGCATGTAAATGATGTAGCAGAGGTGAGCTAGCTACAGCAGTCCTGAGGTCGGCACCTTGGATATGTAGCAGACCACATCCAGCCAGACCAGATATTAGGAGTCTGGGGAAATCATCTTGGAAGGGAGACCATGGACCCAGCAACAAACTAGAGTTCTTGTTACCAAAAACAGAGATAACTAGCAGACTTTGAAGTAATACTCAGTGAAAGTCTTAGCAAAAAATAGTGACTATCTGACCTCATCAGGGCTCTCTGGTTATAAAAATAAGACATTGTTCTATGGCAACTAACTACTGGTTGGATACTGTTTTGGTTTTGTTTTGTTTTGTTTTTTCTTTTTTTTCAACGTTTATTTATTTTTGGGACAGAGAGAGACAGAGCATGAACGGGGGAGGGGCAGAGAGAGAGGGAGACACAGAATCGGAAACAGGCTCCAGGCTCTGAGCCATCAGCCCAGAGCCTGACGCGGGGCTCGAACTCACGGAGCGCGAGATCGTGACCTGGCTGAAGTCGGACGCTTAACCGACTGCGCCACCCAGGCGCCCCTTGTTTTGTTTTTTCATGTATCTCTTTGGTTTTATCCCCCCTCCCCCCCCATCCCTTTTCCAAAAGCAGAACTAATCGTTCTCCTCTTTTCTCCTTCAGGACTTTTCATGATATTTCTGAGGATCTGAAATCTTCAGTAGACTGACATGGTTTCCCCCGCAGTGATTTCTGTAGGAGGCTCCGTCTTGATAGTGAGTTCAGCTCAGCTGTGGCCTTCTGTCCTTTCATCCGTGCCTAGCAAGCAGAGCCCGGAAAAGAAGCAGAACCCTCCTGGCCTTCCCTACAGAATGCCTGGACAAGAGAGAGCTCGCTGTGGGGTGCTTTCCATTTTAAAGCACGGCTTTAGAGCTCAGAATTGTGGTTTGCTCACTTAATTGTTGCTAGGATGGCTTGAAGAGTTTCGATGTATACACTGGTACCATGGCTTGAAGTTTCCCACTTTGGTTATCTATATTATTATAATATGTATTTATAAAGTTATTTCAAGAGCCCTAAACTACCTGCTGTTAAAAGTAGTTACAGTGTAATTTTCTCCTGCTTTAAGGAATCTGTTCTTAAACTTTTCTATGGTCGTCACTTTTTAATGAAGAGGGTTTTCACTTTTGAATTTGCAGTTTCTTGAGCAGGAAAAAGGAGTCGTCTTCCCTTCTTCCACCGTGTATGGTCCCCTTTGTAAGAAAGAACAAATCTTAAGTGTAAGACGGGGTGGCTTATTTGAATGTCAGTTAGTTGTGTGTTACAGCCATAGGAGACACAGAAAGACTGTCTCCCCCCCCCCCCCCCGCCTTTCTCTTCCTTCCATCCGCCATTACACTATGACCAACTTTCTAAAACTTGGTTGACCACTTTGAAGTAAAATACTGATTAAGCTGCTATTAATGGTAACAGTATGACAGAATTCACGTTGTGGTTCAGTTTTTCTTTCCAGATACTTTAAGTGAAAAATCTCAGGAGTAGCAGTTCTCTGAGTTGTTGAATGTATCCCTGTTTGCTTATTTGAAATTCTGCCAATTAGTTACTTATTAGCAGTAGAATGTTACATTTATGTAGTATTTTTCCATCACTTAGCACAGTGCCTTGCACATAAGACTCTAGATGAAGGCTTGTTGAATTATGACTTTTTTAAGTATCTCAGATATCACAATAACCAGCATAGCGCTTTACATCTTACAAGTCGTTTTGCGCATATTTTTTCACAGCAACTCCCCATCAGCTTTCATGTAGCTTTATATTATTTTAGAACTGTTTCATACAGATGGGGAAACTAAGGTTCAGAAAAATTTAGTAAGATTTTTACCTCAAATCTTTCTGACTTAATAGTCTGCGGACCGTGCTGTACTGTAACATTTCTTCCAGTATCTTCCACAGTTTTCCTAGTGTTTGTCCTACAGTTAATGACAAGGCTGGGACTGGAACCTAGCTCTTAGCTCTGTGCCCTTTCCACTGTATAATGCAATCATTAGGCTCTTTATCTGTCCCCAAGGGAATATGGAGGAGAAAGGGTTCCTAAGTATCAAAGACCTCCCTTTGGAAAACGAAGGTAGAAGTCTTTTTTTTTTTTTTTTTCTCTAAAACATTGTCTCCCTAAAGCATAGTTAATAATAATTAGCTTAAATTTATTGTGATATTACTTAAGAAATTAGGTCCATCTAGGAAAGAGGCTACTGTGAGGGCTTGACTTTATACAGTAGACTACATGCAGGTCTCTTATTTTGGCTGTCACAATCTGATGTTACACCGAGTGTTCCTTTGGCCACTAACTGACTTCTGCTTTTCTTCAGTCATTTGTTCAGGAAAACTTGTCAAGAGTTTGCCAGCTCTGGTTCCCATGCCAAGTACTGTACAGGGTGCCACAGGCAATCATAAGAAGCTCTTCTCTCACCTTGAATCTTGGCCACATCATGTGCATTACTAAAATTAAAATTTTTGCATTAAAAGGCTTAAAGAAATCATATTTGTTTTTTTTTAATTGTATGCTGGTTAAGTTTATAGCTATAGTTGGCACATAGTCAAAAGAGAGAAGTATTATATACACAGTGAGTTTCGTCTGCATATACAAATTATGTTCCTCTAAAGTGTTTTTAGCTGTATGAAGTGTTACTGAAAAAACTAACCTCGAGCTAATGTATGGCTGTGGCTGGTCATAATTACTGGTATAAATACCAGGATCATAGAAGGGAACTTAGAGCCCTAAGACAAGATTTTAGAGCTGCCAAAATTGACAATGACATTGTATCACCTGAAATATCAGGAGCAGAGGTACCCCCAGAGTGCTACACAGTCCTCATCAGGAGACTGGAACTGCCCCAGTGCTCCAGCGACCGCGTAATGACTCAGAAAGTCAGCCAGCTCTGGGACGTCTTCCTGGAACCCCCAAACAGAGAAACACATCTCTTTGGACATAGTGAAGAGGGTTTACAGAAGTTTCACAGGACACAGATCATGTGGTGTGAAAAGGGGCGAGTCTCAAGCTCTGGTCTCAGAAATGACGTGTCCCCGATTCTCAGTTAGGGTTTGTCCCAGAAAAAGTCTCCCTAGGAGCAGACAGTGCATTGATGAAGTGGCTTCTGTAAAAACGGATCCAGAAATCTTACCACAATGTCTTACATTTATTTTATAGCTTCATTAAAGATTAGTTTTAAGTTCATATTCACTAGTTCAGTTGTAAACCAAATGGGGGGGGGATGGGAGAAAATGAAAGTCTCCACACAGATGTGCTCCTCTCTTTTCTGAGAAAGAATAAGGTATAGGGTTTTTAGCATAAACTCCATGCCCTATAAATTCTTCTTCGGTTCCAAAATTCCTGTCACATTCGCTGTTCCTGGACGTGATCTCTTGTCAGACTGCCTGAGATACAAGTCTTATTTATGTTTAAATTTGTGAGGATTCCTAACACTCTCTTCCATTAGAGATAGTTAGCTGGCAGAATTTTCCTGTGACTTGTGACACTGGTGTAGACGGACTCTTGACAAGGTCAAGAAGTGTAATGGAGGCTTGCTGTATTTAAACTCAGAACCTTTGGAAATAGCAGCTGCATATTCCAGTTAAAGGGTGGCTAAAGGGCTTGCAGCTGAGGTCCTCTGGCTAATGTTGGTCTTAAATACCCATTGTGACCCTAATCCTACCCCTAGTTCCCACATTGGTTGCATTTAGTGCTTCAGGATGTGTCACTACTGGGCAAGAGATACTCAGAGATTCAGGCCATGAAGGGTTTCATTAGAGCAAAGGAATTTTAGTGAGCTATCCAGGGCTCTCAACCTCAGGGTTTATAGGAAAAACCCCTTCATAACTTCCCATCCTCTGGTCCTGACTGGCAGTTTCCTCTCTGGGTCTTTTGAGACCCTTACAAGAGTATTATAGTAGGCATTTCACATTGGAAATAGCCTATGGCAGTATATTCCAAGTGTTAGTTCCAGCTAAGAGCAAGTACTTTTTTTTTTTTTTAACATTTATTTATTTTTGAGACAGAGAGAGAGAGAGAGAGAGAGAGCATGAACAGGGGAGGGTCAGAGAAAGAGGGAGACACAGAATCTGAAACAGGCTCCAGGCTCTGAGCTGTCAGCACAGAGCTCGACGCGGGGCTTGAACCCATGGACTGCGAGATCATGACCTGAGCCGAAGTCAGACGCTTAACCGACTGAGCCACCCAGGCGCCCCCAAGTACTTGATTTTTTATTAATTTTTTGTCCTTACACAATTGCCATCAAAATATATTCATTAATTGAGGACCTGCAAAAATATGCACATGCTAACTGAAACCAGTGAGCAGTTATTTTTTGACAGTTTAAAAATAATCAAAAGAATTGTAAATCAAGATGTTCTCTCTACTAGAGTCATAAAAATTCTGTGCCAGAATGGGCCTTCTATAATTAGGTGATCCTGTCATTTTTCTAGGGGAGAAAAATCCATAGGCTTTTCTAGCACAGAGCTAGTAACAATTCTGAGTAGAATGCGGTTCTTTTGTCTCTCTTTTTTTTAATGTTTATTTACTTTTGAGAGAGTGAGTGGGGAGGGGCAGAGAGAGAGGGAGACAGAATTCTACGCAGGCTCTGCACAGACAGCAGAGAGCCCGATTCAGGGCTCGAACCCACAAACCATGAGATCATGACCTAAGCTGAAGTCAGACCCTTAACCTACTGAGTCACCCAGGTGCCCCCAGTGTTTTGTTTTGTTTTGTTTTTCTCTTAGCCCATTGTTCTACTTCTCTTCCCTTTCCCTTTTGGTTGAGCAGCTTTTGGAAAAATGTGTTCCTTATGGCAGTAGTTCCAAGGGATGTTATTAGATGTTATAAGAAGTGTATATGAAGGGAAGGGACTCTATGGTCAATTAAAATTGAGGAATTCTGAGTTTGTTTCCTTTCGGTGGGACTTCCTAGAGTTTTTAAACCTGTTAAATATTGTGAATTTATGAGGGGACAAAGACTGTTTACTAGACTTACTTGACCTTAAACTGCTCCCCTAGCCTCCCCCTCTTAGCAGAGCTTCTCCAAGGACTTCTTGTCCTTTGGGAAACATGGCTTTTGAGGAAGTTTACAGCTCTTTTAGGAGAATCCTTAATGGAAACCCTGAATGGTAAATCTATTACCATGGTTCCATGTAAACTGTAATAAATCTCAGAGTTTAATGAGATACCAGAAAGAAAACATATTTGCTGTTCAGAGCTATACATAAAGTATAGAGATTCTTTTCCACCTATTATGGTGTGTAAAATCAGTATTTGTGTTTAGTTTTGCAAGTTTTTCAATAATCTATTAATGTGCAAATATAGTGGTGGTATATTGATATTACATTTTAATAATGCTTTTGTATGTCACTTTATAGTTTTCAGACTGCTCTCATAACAACCCTGTGAGATAGGCAGGTGTTAAGTATTATTGAATGAGGCATTGGAGGCTCAGAAAGTTTTTTTGTGTGTGTGATTTTTCCCTTAAGTTTATACCACAAAATTATGGAGCCAGAATTCACTTGCAGAACTTCTGACTCCAAGTCCAGAGTTCTTTCCTCCACACCTGGTTTCTTATTTTAATTCTTGCTTTATATCTTAAAATGAAAGGTGTGGAAGTGAATCTTCAAATAACATCATGTTGGCTTATTATCAAATCCTATTTCTTTTTTTTTTTTTTTTTTTTTTTGCAGTGGCCCAGAAAGTGTAACTCTTATTATAGCTATCCCAAAGAAAATCCTTTTTCTGTCCTTTGTAGTGCTCCTTGTTTGGGTGACTGGAGGATATTTCAGATACCATTTGATTTTAAAACCAAGACTAGGTGTATAGTTGTAATTGCCTATATAGCTTTTGGAAAGGTATCATCTCTGCATTCTCAGGCAAAGTAGAGATGGTTTGAAGGCAAAAAGAGTTTGTTCAAATACAATACATATTCTTTATTCTCACACAGAGCCTACTTCTTAGCTTTAACTTGCTTTGACAACCTACTGATGTAACTTCTTTGTACATGTGAAATATTTATATTTTGAAATAAAATTACGAGTGTTAAATGAATCAGGTGGTAAACTTAGTCTCATTTCTGTTGAGAAATTTGATCTTCAGTGAAGTGAAACTTTCACGAATACATCTGTCTCTTACTTAGGCCTTAAATATTTTCCTTTGGCACCAATGCCTACACTGAATTTTTATGTAACATGGGCACTTACATAAGGGAAGATGTGTCTGGAGAGTGGATGCTGGGCACCTTAAAGAGGTGAAAAGGTCCAACGCTGAGGCTGGAGCCCTCAGTGCACTCGTGAAGGTGGCCTTGGTAGACAAGGAAGTGGTAAGGTAAGTGGCTGGGGAGTAGGAATCCGAGGAAAAGCTGGTCAAAGGAACTGCACATTTTGCATGAAGAAAACAAGCCCATGTTAATGACTATCTTCAATAGCAAAGATAAACGTGCAGCACTGGCAGATGGAGCTGAACCCCCACATGGGAAGCACATTTCAACAAGTGCTTGGGAAAGAGCCTCTGACACTTGGAGCTGGTGGTATTCTGCTCATCTATCTGACATCGATGGAGAAATGATCCTGGCAAAAGTGAAAGGGTGGACTCACCAGCCTTGGATTATTTTCTGCTCTGCTAGTTGCTTATTGGCAGATAGGCTAGTTCACAAATATTTCTCCATGCTTCTCAGTCTATTGCTTGAGCCTAGGACCCCTTCACTGGGTGTGTTTCTGACAGCTGCCTTTTTGGCTTTGCTTCTGGAACTCCTGAGGAAAGGGGTGTTCAGCCCTCCCTCCCATCTGATCATGCGGGGACTCCCTGATAGCTTTACCTTTAAGTGAGTTTAACCAGAAATATACACTAATGGTCGTCTTTTTTTTTTTTTTAAGAGAGAGCACCCACAAGTAGGGGAGAAGGGCAGGGGGAAGGGGAAGGGAGGAAGAGAGGGAGAGAGAGTATCTTAAGCAGGGTCCAGGCTCAGCCCAGAGCCCCACATAGGGCTTGATCTCATGATCCTGGGATCACAGCCTGAACCAAAATCAAGAGAGCCTCAACCAACTGAGCTGACCGATCTTTTCAGTCAATAAACACCTATTAGGAAACTGCTCTGGCGTAGCCCTAGGAAAAGTAATTCTGAAAAGTAGTTTTAAAATGTAAAAGTGTTGAACAGTAGATGAAGCTTCCCATATGCTCTAGTTAATTTCCTTTTGAAAAGTAGCCTGAAAGATACCCAAATCACTGTCTCCTTGCCAAGTACCCAGGTACTCCTTAAGACTGCATCATCGTATGTTTCATGCTCAATCGAGCCCAAATTATGAGAAAGGGTCAGAAGAGGAGCAGGGGGAAATAGGACCTTCCGGAGAAGCTCCAGAAAGACGCTTTACCGGCAGAATTCCTGTCTCAGGGTAGAAGACCCTTCCTACGCACCGGACTGTGGTTCTGCTCTACCAGTTAGTTCAGCTTCCAGAAGTCATCGTGGGAATCGGGGTTAGAACGAGTCACCTATCAGGAGGACGAAACGCTTTGCTAGGGACGATTGTCCTTGCCTCGGTAAGAGGCCACGTGGCCGTGGGAGGCTGGCAGGTGTCTGGTTCAATCAGCCCTGGCGAGAGAGAGAGACGGGGCGGGGAAGGGGGACAGACAGAGACTGACCCTCTCGCAGGGCGAGAGGGCGAACCCTAGACCCGAGCGCGCGGGGGCGTGGCCTCCGGGGGGCGGGGCCCCGCGGGGGCGGGGCCTCGGGGCGGCGCGGGTGCATTGCCG